TGCAGTGCTGTGATGATGAAAAAGATATAAAAAAGCAAGAGTTGTTGAACTTAAGTGTAATTTCCGATTTCAAGAGCCGGATTCAAAATTCATTAAATGATATCCAAGGATGATTGAAAATTCTCTCAAGACGTGTTGATAATAAAAAAAGAAGATGCCTGAAGAATACATTGAAAGGGAAAAAAGGAAGAAAGAGCAGAAAAGAGAACTAAAATGTTCGAATGCTTTAAGGGGTAAAGAACTTTTTAAAATTTTTAATAAAAATTTTTAAAGAGCCTGGCCAAGATGAATTGAACCTTGATGAATATGATATTGAAAGTGATTTTGATCCTGAAAAACATGACCAGAAAATGAAAGAGCTTTTTAATGATGATTATTATGCTATTCAATGAAAAGAATGTCCAAAATTTCCATATGATGAGGAACTTGATAATAAAAAATGGGACCATTGCATTGGGCCAAGTAAAAGTGATGACTGTGGTGAAGAACAGCTTGAAGAAAGTGTTTCTGAAAGATCACGTGTTGATGTTACAAACTCTAAAAGTTATTCTAAATCAGAGTTTGAGAAAGAAATGATTGAGTCAACTCACAGAGGAAGGATAAAAGTTAAAAAGAAATCCCTTTTTTACAACAGTAATTTCTAAACCTAAACCAGTTTTTGATCCAAATGGCAAAACATTTGACGACTATTTGAATGGCTGCTATAGATTAGATTATGAAGATATAATTAGTGATATGCCAATCAGATTCACACGAAGGTAGAAAGTGAGAAATGACTGCCTGTTGATGAAATTCTTGCAGCTGATGACAGATAATTAAATCTTGTTTTAAATACTTATGTTCGTATTCATACATGATTAATTATTTTTTTTTAAGTACTGTTCCTTTAGTCGATTTCAAGTAAAGTACTTTTTTTTAACACTGTTTGAGCACCTAATTAAATGGGGAGGTGTGAGGCACTTGCACACTCTATGAAGAATGAGGATGGCAACACCAGCGAAATGCAAGGGAAAAACCCAGTAAAATGGACCACACAAAACGATTACGATTATTATATTATAATTCAAAATGGATCGTGTGCAGAATGGTTTAAAAATAACACAAAAATCTTTATAACAGTTTCTAAGTTATCTGTACATTACAGTTATACTGGATTACTCTGAATAAAAATGTTTAGCCCCAGTGTGCGTTAGCATATGTCCTGAACAAGTGGTCAGCTTGTCACAGGACACCCAGTGTTTATTCCCCAAGCGAACTTGGTACTCATTTTATTGACCCAAGGGATGGAAATCAAGGAATGAAAGGCTGAATTGACCCTGCCCAGCCCAGGGTTCGAACCTTGCACCTGTGTTGCTGCTGTGCAATGCGCTAGCCACTGTGCCACCGGGCCTTTAATATAAAATATCAGAACAAAATTTACTGGTGGGATATAAAAATGATACACTTAAAAATAGGGAAAATATGAGCATACAAAAATTATATTTCTACATGCATCTAAATGCTGTTTAAAAGAAATGGCATTATTTATAAATTAAACAAAAATTTTCTTGTCTGATGACATAAAAAGATTTGTCATATTTGTCTTGCCCTATACCTTCAGGCACATTATCGAATTCTCTTACGTCATCACCATCATTGTTACTCTGATTCATAAATAAATAATCATCTTCATTTCCATCTAAATTGTTCAATATACTACATTTTTTGAAGGACTTTTGAATTATATCTGGTTTAATTTTATTCCATGCTTTTATTATTCACTCACACACTTTTTATAGACTGGCATGACACATCTGAGCTCTTTTTTTTAAAATTTTTTTCCTAGTTTCTTGCTTGTCTTTGATGTTCTCTTAAAAATCAAGGCTGCAAATGACTACAGAAAGAGAAAACATTTAACAGCTAATTCCGTGAATTCATTCGGATCAGAAGTGCATTCTTACCTCAAATAATTTTCCCCTTTTCTCGAAACCTCAGAAAACATTCTTGTGCACACCTGTATTGAACACAATGCACCTTCTTTGAAGAATTATTTACCTTCTCAAGCATTTCTCCACACATCCCTTCATCATTTGTCATTTTAGTTCATCCTAATACCAAGGCCAGGGCCTAATACCAAGCAATTGTGCAAGTGCAGTCTTGTCTAGAATTTGTTGAGGGGTGACTGTGTTAAAATATTATTAACTTATTTTCCTATTTATTTATTAATTAAAATAATTATTGAATATGAGTGCTACTAATAAAAGAAAAATAGACTTCGAAAACGAGAATTTCAAGATCGCTGGGAGATAAGATTTATTTATTTATTCTGAACAAGAATAGCAAACCACAGTGTTTGGAATGTTTACAAATCATAGCTGTGTGTAAAGAATATAACTTGAAGCACCATTATCTTTCCATGCATGAAAAAAATTATCATTCGTACACGCGAGACATGTGCTTGGTTGTGTGATTATGGCAAAGCCTCGTATACACGTTACGCACGGGGAAAACCCCGAAAACACCCATGCAGCCAGCCCGTTCGTGGGATTCGAACCGCGGACCAACTACCAGTGTTCAGTGACTTTACCGCTCGGCCACTGGTGGGCTTACACGCGAGACATAAAAATACCACTAGTGAAAAAATGAAAAAGCAGCTGGATAACAATTTATTTTAATCAAGAAGCAAAATTTCAAGAAGCATCTGTAGCTGCATAGTTTGAAGTTTGTTTAGAAATAGTAAAGGCAAAGAAGCCATTTTGGATGGAGAATTCATTAAAAAATGTGCCATAAAAATGGCTCAAGCATTTTAATGACAACGAAATGGTAAGAAAATTTCAAACAGTATCACTTTCTCACCAGACTGTAAGCCGACATGTAAACGAGATTAGCATGCATGTCACTAATAAATTAGAAAACCTAATCAATAGTTGCTGCTATTTTTTTGGTAGCATTGGATGAAAGCACAGACATTTCCGATAACCAAGTCAAATGGCCATCTTTATAAGAACTGTAAATGAAAACTATAATTATTCAGAAGAACTTTTAAAATTACAATCATTATACGGAACAACAAAAGGTGAAGAACAACAAAAGATATTTACAAACAATTAAAAATGTTCAGTAGAGCAGTATGGCGGATTTGACAAGTGCACTGCTATTGTAACCAATGGTGCTAGAGCTATGATGGGCAAAAATATTGGGCTTGCGGAACTTCTGCAAAAAGAAGGAATAACATGTCGTATGTTACACTGTATTATCCATCAGGAGGCATTATGTGGTTTATCCCTACAACTAAAAGGCATAATGGACAAGGTTTGCAAAATTACTAATTTAATTCGCGGCGGAAATCGTCTCTTACACACCAAAATTAATACATTTTTGGATGAATGGAAACTGAGTATGAGATCTGCTTTTACATAGTAATGTTGTTGGTAAGTGCTGGAAAAAGCTTGAGGAGATTTTTATACTCCGAAAAAATTCATCTTTTCTCACAGAAATTGCATCGATGAAAATTAACAGCAAATTAGTTGATAAAAATTTATTTATTCACTTGCTTCCTAACAGACATTACAAAGATTTAATATTTGAATAAATCCTTGCAAGGACAAAACAAACTGGTGTTGCCTTTATAAATATGTTACTGGAGTTAGAAACAAATTAAAAATTGTTAAGGTTTAATTGGAACAAAATAATTTATTTCATTTTGAATCTTGCAAAAGAGATCTATGAAGAAAAATGAAGGAATGTAATACAGAAGCGAATTTCTAAATATTTCTACCATAATTGGATATGCTAATTACAGATTTCAATGAAAGATTTCCTCAATTTGATGATCTTAAACCGTCTATGATTTATTTTGTGATCCAATTATATTGATATCAACTCTGTGATATTAAACATCAAATAGAATTATGCGACTGCAGGCTGACCCATTTTTTACATCTCGGGGAGTTAACTGGAATAGAAATATTCAAATTTTTAGATAAAGAGAAATATCCAAAATTGAGAGATTTTGGACTTCAAATTGTATCAATGTTCAAAAGTACATATATCTGCGAGCGTGCATACTCCGATATGAAATATACGCATGGGTCAAAATATAGAAACAGTTTGAAAGATTCCACTCTTGAAGATATAACTAGACTTGCCTGTTTGATGTGGACATAAAAGATATTGTTGCTAAACAATTATGGCCACAATGTTCTCATTAATATATTACGAATATTTTAAAGTTTTCTTTTTAGAATAAATAAAATATTTTTTAATTAACATAAACTGACTTTTCATTTATCAACCTTCTTGGCCCCCGAAATGTTTGGTGAAGAAAATATGGCCCGCAGGCTATGATAAGTTGGACAGTGCTGCTCTAAATTAAAGTAACATACACAAACTTTGTAAATGATAACAAATCTACAACATTTGGGGTGGGGGTTAACTAAATCATCAAAAAAAAAAAAAAAAAAAAAAAGGATGAGAGAGAGAGAGAGAGAAAATTTTGATAGACTTTGTTTGGTTATATATTAATATGAAATGATGCAGAAAATATAAACCATTTATTACAGCTTCCTTTTTCTGTCTGATAAAGATCAGTTATTTCAGTGTCAGCCAACTCTGCAACATTATATTTACTGCCTTCAAGATGGAACAAAATAGGATTCCAGAAGAGTTCTGATTGATTAAGAACTGAATGGATCTGAAGGATATATGTAAAAGTATTCTAGATGACAGGACAAATTTTTAGAATATGCATATATCCTCAAAATTGTTATACTCTAATGGAGTTGTTAAACAACATCAGTACGTGTACATAAGCCTCGAGGGAGAAATTCTAGAGATTTGGTGCGGCACATTGAAATTTTGTACTGATTATATCAAATTTCTTCAAGTTCTTTTTGAAATAATATATTAATATAAAAAAGAATTTATGGTTTAATTACATCATAATCATAACAATAACTTACACTATAGCTAAAAGTATAATAAGAAAAAAAATCCACCAAAAATTGCTTGCAATCACTTACTTGAGCAGCATCAGAGCAGCTATAAAGTCTGTCAAACAAAAGTATGGATGCTCCATGAGCAATCAGAGAGTCTCGTTCCATCTCTCCAAATCTAATACCACCATCTCTCTTACGGCCTTTCACTGGTTGACGAGTTAGAGATTCTAGTGGACCAGTTGTCCGAACCTTAAATGAAAGATTCAGTTATAATTTTATTATATAATTAAACTGAAAAAAAAATTCACAAATTTACTTCCACCATAATTCACTTATCCAGCAAAGGCACACTGCAGATCTTGATTTTAAACCATCATCACATCTTTCTTACATCTTCAAAACAGAATCTACGCAGTGATTATAAAAAATAATCCTACAAAACTGATCTATCTAAATAAGAAGTATAATCAACAAAGAACAACTGAGGCTTTTCTTGCTAAAAATTAGCATTCCAAGAACAAAAACAAAAAGCTATTTGGCCAAGAAAGAAACAAGACAAAAACAGCACAATGGGAAAAAAAAAAAGCACTGCCAATATAAAAATGGCAAATTAGGTATTTGTAACATGAAAAATAAAACTATTTAAAAAAAATCTAATATACAAGGTCCAGCTATTAATTTCCAGGACTCATGGTATAACTCCGAAGAAAAAAAGGTTAAACACATAACCATTTAATATAATTTAAAGTAATCCCCATCCGCCGTAATGCATGTCTGTGCTTGGCAGTACAAATTTCGGAAAGAAATTTTAAAGTCCTCTTTTGGAATGCTCTTTAATAGTGATGTTACAGTTTTCTTGATGGCTTCGACATCCTGAAATCTTTTTCCCTTCAGCGAATTTTTTAGCTTAAGAAACAGGAAAAAGTCTAAGGGTGCTAGGTCTGGAGAGTATGGTGGATGCTGCATTTCAGCGACACCATGCTGGGCTAAGAATCGCCTCACAGGCAACGCAATGTATGGGTGGGCATTGTCATGCAGCAGCCAACTCCCATTTTGTTGAAAATGAGGCCTCACTCTACGAATTCGTTTTCGAAGTCAGTCAAGAACTTCTGTGTAAAACTGTCCATTGATAGTCATGTTAGGAGGAAGAAATTCATGATGAATGAGTCCATCACAATCAAAGAAAGAAATTAACATGACCTTGATTTTGGACTTTTCAAATTGAAAATTTTTCTGCCTTGGTGAACTTGGAGACTGCCATTTGGAGCTTTGACACTTGGTTTCAGGGTCATATTGATAACACCAAGACTCATCTCCCATTACTATCCTATCCAGGAACACAGGGTCAGCATCAGTACGTTGTCGATTTAAGTTCGCCACATGCATTTGGTCTCAATTGCTTTTATTCATCCCTTAAATGGCGAGGAACACGAATCTGGAACAAATCTTGCATTTGCCTAGGATCTTGCGTCATCAAAATTCGCCAAACTGTCTCTTTGTCCATGTTGAATTCATTGGCGAGTACTGGAATAGTCAATCGATGATCACATTTCACCAAATTGCGAACTTTTTCAATTGCTTCCGCCGTGCATACGGACTGCGGCCGACCTGTGTGTGGATCATCTTCGACGCTTTTGCACCTCGTCCTGAAAGCGTTTTTTTAAATCATTCAAAAGTTCTTGAGCAAGATAATGCTTCTTCGCCGTAAACTTTTTTTTTAACATTTCGGAGTTGCAGCTGTCTTGCCCAATTTAAGCAAAATTTAGTGTTAATTCTTTGCTCCATTTTCACTTAGACAATAGGAATTTAAGAGCTACATTTTAATGCGCCTTTCCATGAAAACCACTTATTTTAGAATGGCGCCAATTGCACTGCACATGCACAAGAAAACGCTCTTCAATATAATCATTAGCGCCATCTTCCGACTTTTCGTTCTCCTACAGTTATGTCAGTCCTGGAAATTAATAGACGGGAATTTTTATTTATTTTGTGTACACACAAAATAAATAAAAATTATATAACATAAACATGGTAAGTATTTTTAATCTCTAAAATAGTATATGGCTGATTTTTATAAGATGCTAAAAACTTTAATCGAGTCATCATCTTAAAAAGTTTTTGGATTAGGAATTATCCAGATGCTTCCTTTATTGTGGCTTGAAAGAAAGGAAGTGCTCTTGTGTCTACATAATTTTTGTTTTATAATAATATTAGAAATGGTGCATCTACTATTGTAAATTTTAGAACATCAGTGGAAATTTTATATCTTTGACTATTTGAATCACCATAGTGCCATTACAAGTATTAATGCTAACTCACAGTATTCTTTGAATATAAAAGAATGTTTGAAAAAAGCTAAGTAATCCATAAAATATTTTTGCAGCTATTTGTAATGATCAGTTATTTTGATAATAACAATATAAATAAAAATAATATATATACCCTTGAAACAGTGCCATAAGAAATTATACCACTTACATATCTTAGCAACTCTATGTGCAGAATATAAATAACTTTCAATGCAAACTTGATAATCTTAATAACACGTTAGTTAATATGCATAATTAGACACACACATTATAAACACACACTCACAAATGAAGAAGTATGAATACCTGATACTTATCAGCAACCATATGCCTTAATCTTTGATAATATACAACTCCAAAGAAAATATCAGCCTCGAGTTCCCGTCCATCTACACCACTGTACATTCGCTCAGTTCCATAATAATCATAGCCAGCTTCATATGAGATATAAAAAAGAATGAAATAATAAACTAATGAATAAATATAATAAATTATAATAAACTAATCACTAATGAAATAATAAACAATAACAAATTTTGAGAAAAACTGAAAAAAAGATTATATAAAACTGATTATTCTGCTAAATTTCATATTTTAATAAAACTCTACAGTAAATAAAAGATTGGGCATTTCCAAATTACATTTATAAGATAAGGAACACAAACACCATTTTAGAGAGATAATACAATGTAGTACCACAGGGTTTGTGCATTGACCATTATTTATACGTGTTTTCCCAAGACTTTGCTGTTCTTTATAAAGCTATCTTTGCTTTTTTTTTTTTTTTTTAAATCACAGAATGATTAAAAAAACATCTGACGAAAATGCTGAGGGGACCACAATAAGTAGATTTTGTAATGGAATGTATAAGCAGAAATGATACAGTGAAGTAATACAGGTTGCTGTAGAAAAATAGATGAAAGAGTTCTGCTGGAACAAACTGCTATTCCCTGTGCAAATTTTGAGTGGCGTGCACCTTTACAGAAATGCAGAACTTGCCAATATGCATTTTTATACATGGTGCTGCGGCTAGAATACAGTGTTTACATGAAGTAGGATACAGGATGATTTCCAAGTGCTTCCTTTGAGTGGCTGCTTCATTTTCCTCTAGAACCTCACAGATAAAATACATGTCCATACACTCTACATACCACTCGGAATTCGTACAAGGAATGATGACATATACTAGCAGAATGCTTTTATCTGATCTCAACATGCCATTTCTACACAACACACGTTCCAAAACAAAATCTGTTCATTTCAATCCCATATACCTACCTTTACATATCTGTGTATAAATAAAGAATTATAAAATGCGAAAAATTATTCTGCAATTTTAACCACTCAATCTTGAAATCTAAACACAGATAACTTTTTTTAAAATGATCTTTACCAAACTTTATTTGTTAATAAATACATTCAGGTGTTTGTTATTGTTGAAATTAACTTATTAGCAATCAGAGAGGAAAACTTTACTACAGTCCACTTAATTTTAAAACAGCTTCCCATGAATTCAATGGCAACAGAATTTGATGATGATTAGCGATTTGGCTATAAAACCTTTCTAAAATGGTGCTACTAAAGAGCAGTATCAAACTTTCCTTTCAATTATCATACATAGAACTAAAAAAAAAATGTTTTAAAACTCAAAAAATCTTTATTAGTTATAAAATGAATGCATTATTTTAGATTTTACTAGTAAAATTTATTACATTTTTATTAATAGTTTTTCACATTAATCTTTAATTAGAGTTCAGACAACTGTAGTTTAAAATAATTCACTCTCTGAATTTTAAAAACATATATTGCATTAATATGGCCAACTGAAAAAAATCTTCGGAAATGAAAGACAGAATTGCTGCTTCAAAATAAACACATAAAGTACATTAACCATTAAAATCATTCTATAATATAGGCCACATATAACAGAATATGTATTGTTAATTACATGGATAAAACATACTCCACTGGCAGAGAGTGGTTTGTAGGACACTGACAAAGTTTCTGAAGAATTTGTTATAATTCAGCAATGTGAGAATCCTGCATCACATTATACACATCCACATATAATTAAATTCACATCAAACATGCTGCAATATGACTGCTCTCATGGCTTGCACATTATATCATCATATAGTTCCTGAATGGAACAGGATGCTAGGTAAACACTGTTTTTACTTTCTGGTACAAAATAAAGCAAGTACAAAGTATTGGAATCGCGAAAATTTTCAGGCATTTATATTTCAATGAAAATATCCACCTTGGCCACTCTTAAATCCATTTGAACAGAATTTCTGCATGACATCTATACATATGGACAGAATAAAGGACTTTCCAAAACGGATTGTAAAATGGATTCGGAAGAGATTCTTTTCATGATGTTTCTACGTTTGTATGTATCTCGCATAACTCGAAAACGAGTCGACTCAGAATCTTGATTGGATTATTCAATTATGACAAAGCACACAAGAGCTATCTGCCTAAAGGGAGGGATGCCTTCGTGGAGGGCTTTCTAAGGGAAACTGGCTTGTATACACATTACACATGAGGAAAACCACCTCAGAATCTTGAAATTTTGTATACAGGACTGTTATAACATGTAGTCGTGCACCCTCCTTTTTTGGCTGCAATCTATATGCACATATATCTATCTATATGTGTAAGATACAAAATATATAAATTAAAATTATAAGATAAAAATATGTAAATCAAAATTATAATTTAAATTATCAACAGTCTTTAATTCCCCTTCTCTATTCTAAAAATCATAATAACGTTTCTGGACTGTGTCATTTCTAGATAAATCCATCTCATATGGCTTGCATAATGCTGATGATATAGTTAATTCAGAACCTACACTCAAAATTTCAAGAACCAAAATCTTTCTGTTCTAAACAATCAAAACCAAAACCTTCTCTTGGTGAGCTCACATACTGGATAATTGTGCATTTATTGATGAATTTAAGCCAAAATCTGGATATTAATCTGTCATGTGATCTGAAATGCAATCTGGTATAAAAGGTCTTTGCACAATCTCTCTCTCTTTAACTTCAACTCTGCTTCTATGCCACTTTTTGGTTCATCACTCTTTTTTTTTTTTTTTTTTTTTTTTTTTTGACTTGCTAACTATACCATTACCTAAAATGTGATACTCTAGATGAAATCGTGCGGTGTGTATTGTCCATGATCATGCACCGGGAAAAATATGTTCTCAATTATTAGTTCATGTCCAGAAATAAAAATTATGTTCATTTCAGCAACTCTGCCTACAAGTCACTCCTTCGCTATGCATCATCAAACTCCAGAAAACAACTGTCCAAATCTGTTACAGCTACCGACCAATCATCAAACTGATTACAGTTATTGTTATTACAGTAGAAGTCCAGAAATCCGCAGAGCTTGAGACCAGAGGTTGTGCGGATTTTAGAATTTTGCAGATTTCAGGACAGAAAAGATAAATCATAATATTCAGATTAAAAGTGCAAAATAAATAAGGCGTATTAGATACATTTAAGTAAATTATTATATATATTATTGCAATAACTTATTATTAAATATATAAATTGATTATATTATTAATTGTATTATTATATGTACATAACATCGAGGTTTGCCGATTTCGCCTCATGCATGGTTTTGGATTAAGGTGTTCGAATCACTGTTGCCGTAAAACTTCAACAGCTTATCTTCATTTTTCCGTATATCATACACAATCGTGTCACAATTCCATACAATTCTGCTATTAACCGAGGAGTAGCACCTGCTTCCATCTTTTGCAGAATTTCCATTTTTTCCATTACCGTCAATGCAACATGTTTACGTTTTTTAACGTTGCAAGCAGTAAAATCATGAGTGCATTTCTTATCTGTAATTGCATTAAAAAGGGCTGAAATTTAAAAAATAAAAAAGGCTAAATATTCTTAATTTATCCACAAAATATCCAGATAAAAAAAGAAGGCAGCACCAAATAATCTCGTGAAATAACAAAGCTTAGAAAATATAAAATGTGAATCGTGAACTTGAAAGAAGAGTTGAGTAAATCATCTGTTTTTTTTTTTTTTTTTTACCTCGATGCAGATTAGAGAGGGAAAAAACAATGTCAATAATGTCAATAATTTGGTATTTTCATTATGACTCATTATTATTCCGTAATTATGATGTCATTATTCGGTAGATATTTTTTCTTTGATATTTCGTACTCATTGTTGCGGTTTCCAGAACCTATAAACTGAATGTTTATGTTTTGAGAGGCAACGCGGATTTCAGGAGTTGGTGGATTTCAGGTCGGCGGATTTTCGGCATTTGACTGTATTACATATATACTCACTCTATAATCTGACTCGGTGAGCTCAGGGTTTTTTTTTGTTTTTCCCTTAAATTTTTACATGTCAGGAAATTGCGGAATTTTTGCTGTAAAAGTGATTGAATTATATTATTCTTATGCTCCAGTTATGGTTTTTATACCTTTAATCTGCAATCTAGTTGTTCTAAATTTAAAAGTTGTTTAAGTGGTACAAAGTCTGTAGGTCTTCCTGCCTGTTGGCCAAATTGCTTGTTTTTGCTCTAACGCTTTCTTAAAGCTGTATTTGATGTTTTAGGTTTTTACTTCCTTGGTACGAAGTAAAAAGGAAGTATTGTAATCACGAAAAGTTTCAGGCAGCATATTTCAACGAAAATATCCATTTTGACTGTTATCGAATGCAATTTAACGATGTTTTTGCGTGATATCTGTACGTAAGGACAGAATAAAAGACTATTTTCCTCCAAAAAATTATAAAACTGCTTTAAAATGAATTCTGAAGAGAATTTTTCGTGGCATCTGTAAGAACGTATGTATGTACGTACGTACGAAGGTTGGAACTTTAATAGTGGCAACTATTTATTTACAAGGAATACAAAAGTGATTCATGTCACCATGTTTTACAGTCCTTCAATATAGTCGCCAGCACTGTGTACAACCCATTTCCAACGATGTGGAAGTCGCACAATACCTGTAGCAGCACCTGTTTTGTTGATAGTTTGAATGGACCGGTCTACTGCCGCAAGAATCTCAGGAACAGTTTGGAAGCGAGTGCCAAGAAGTGGTTTCTTCATCTTAGAAATTAAAATCATAGTCACAAGGGCTTAGATCTGGGGAGTATGGTGGATGGTAAAGCACTTCCCGGCCCCATAGCTTGAACAAATCAGTCACAGCTTGTGCTGCATGCGGCCGAGCATTGTCATGCAAAATGAGAGGAGCGTTCTGCAGAAAGTGTCGCCGTTTTTTTCTCAAAGCTGGTCGGAGATCGTGCTCCAAAAATGAGCAGCAATACTGCGCAGTGATGGTCTGCTGTGGGGAAACGGTATGTGTTAGGATGACACCATCACAGTTCGTACACGAGAATCACCATAACTTTCACATTGCTGGGGTTCTGACGAAATTTCGAATGTCGTG